TGTGTGTGTGTGTATGTGTGTATTTACACTGAAATCTAGAAATACTGTCATTGTAGGAAGTGCTCCCTATTTGGGGTTGGGGACTTGCTGCAGCATCATGGCTTGGGGATGCCAAGCATCAAAGATGACAGATAATCCCAGAACAAAGCTTTTCAAATTGGGGGCAGGAGACCCACTTCAGAGTCTTTATTTCTTTTGCACCAGGTTTGACTTTTCCTTGGTGCTACCATTTGTAATTTCTCCTCAAAACAACGAGAAAGAACACTAAGGCTTGGCTACAATTGGTCTGATTTACACACAGTCAAATGGGAATATGTGCCTCTGGTGAACAAATTAATAGCATTAAAGCAGCTATCAAACATGCTCTAGCAAAAAGGATTCCTACCACCCAGCTGCACATGGTTATCATTAATGTGAATCCTCACAGTCATAATAATAGAAAATGAACATCATTCCATTTTTTAAAACTCTAGACAGAAACCATTAGCAATTTACTTTTTCCCAAAGAACCTGCTAATTAAAATTGTAAATAAGGCTGCATTATGTTTGGATTTACTCCTGTCAGTGTTTTTCATGAAGAAATAGAACATGGATGACTATGGAATTGTTCTATTCCATATTACAGCTCAACCCTACTTCCATCTGTCCACACTCCCATCAGAGGAAAAGCCCACACTCAGAGGAAAGGGAATTTGTGAGAAAGGCTCCCACAGCAGCAGGCAAAATTAAGCAAGAAGAGTGCCCCCGAGAGCTTAAGAAACCTGGCTTTCTGAGGCACTGTAAGAAACCAGAGAATATCTTCTTACTAGGTTATGTAGGTGGGATATTTTTATTATTATTATTATCATTGTTATTTTGAAATTCAAAAAAACTAGGATTCCCCAGTGGGAACTGTAAAAGAACATGTTGTGGCAAAAATTCAAAGATCGACCAATTTTAATCTTTTTTCTTTCAGAGTTGCTCATGTACCTTATGCAGTAGGGTATCACTCCCACACTCTTGGTGTGTTAATAATTCATGGCCTTTATTGGTACCAATTCATTGACAGAACTTGGGAAATTTCTGGCTTTTCTTCCATGATTTAATGATATGTAGTTACTTCTCAGTAGTAGTCATCTCAGCTGGAGTTGGGTCTTTAGCCAGTATATAAAATTAGACACAAACAAAACTTAAAAAACAGATAAAGTTGATTACTTTTGTTTATAAACCAACATACTTGGGGCTTCTGTAATTGTAAGTTCTTCGATCCATTGTAGAACTAATTCACAGAACATTAATTACCATCAGTAAAAAAAAAAAAAAAAAATGAGCTTTAAGTCGGGGTTGATTGTCAATTTAAAAATGTACATGAGGGGCGCCTGGGTGGCTCAGTCAGTTAAACATCCGACTTTGGTTCAGGTCATGATCTCATGGTTTGTGGGCGAGCCCCACATCGGGCTCTGTGCTGACAGCTCAGAGTCTGGAGCCTCCTTCAGATTCTGTGTCTCCTTCTCTCTCTGCCCCTCCCCAACTTGCGCTCTGTCTCTCTATGTCTCTCAAAAAATAAATAAATGTAAAAAAATTTTGTTTAAATGTACATGACTCCCCCATTTAAATAGAGATCCTTTTATTACACTCTATCATAGCATAACTACTCTTCCAATCTAAGACTTACTAGTTTATAATTATATATTTATTGGTGAGATTATTTATTAAACATTTGTCTCTACACTGGAACCTCCACGGAACAGACCATCTCTCTTTCGTTCACTATTATCTGCACAATATCCAGCACAGTATCTGATTCTTAATTATTTGTGGAATGAATGAATGAATGAATGAGGAAGTCATGATGTTAAGATCTTAAACTGGGAAGGTTGACTGAAAAGTTTTAGGATACTCTTGAATCCCCTAAAATTATCTTTTAAAAATGTGTTCATATACACATTACTCTGGGGAAAGGACCCACAACCCTTATTAGATTTCAAGGGGGTCTGTGACTTTCCCGAAAGGTATGGAATCACTGACCTATTTCAGCAGTAAAAGAGGATTCGATACCAAAGAACTTACCTATAACCTGAATCAAAGTATGCTATATGTACCTTTACATGGACAGATTTGTGGGCATATGTATAGGTGGGTGTATAATTTCCAAGAACAGTAACAGAAATGCCTCAGTAAATTTACAGAACAATCCACATTCACACCTCCCCTGAGTAGCTGATCATTCTATGGTCACTGGGCTCCAGGAGTGGCTGCGTGCATTCATCTGTTTCTTGGCAGCAACATCCATCACTCAGGCCAGAGAAAAGGACTCTATAATTCTCTCCTTTCACCTGTTTGGGATGCTGACATCCCTCTTTGTGGGAGTTGTTTTTAATAACAAACCTGTAAACCTACTGGTTAACAAAGGCACAAAGCCACATTTATAAAGCACTGGTGCCCGGGCAGTTTGATCAAACAACCCTGGGATTTCCCTTCCCTTGCCCTACAGCCAGAGAGGAAAGCCAACCTAATCAGTCCAAGGAGGCCTCTGAGTGTGGCATGCCTTCACAGCCAGCCGTTGGAGACTATGAGATGGGCTGAGCATGCTAATTGGCTGTTGTATATTAAATCTCTTCTCTCTCTCCCAGCTCCACAAGAGGCTTCCCTTCAGTAAATTTCCTCCCTTGTTTTTGTCCTGAAAATGGAGACTTCCAAAGTAAATTTGTCATGAGAAAGGTTTCTGTTGTGCCATTAACTCTCAGTGATCCATATTAACAGAGAAGAGCAGTGGTGCAGATAATTCAAAGCCAAAGCTCTATTTAGCTTTGTAGTTCATTGTTTTGAGGGGCTTGGTAGCAGAGTTACCTACCTAATTATGTTTGTCTTTGCTTCTTATTAAAATGAGTTTGTCTGCCTCAGGGCCAAGCAGTTGGGTGACATGAAGATTCTGGCACAGAATTTGTAAAATTCACCAGGGGACGTCCACAAGGCACCCAGATAATCAAACTTGACTAGATTTGAGTTCACATTCTTAATCACCTGTGATCAATTGCTTTGCTCCTCTGTGACTAAAGTGAGCCAGGGATGAGACATAATTATAGGAGACTAGTTAGAAGGAAATGAGTCTTTACATTTAGATGAAGACACAAGTCTATTATAGGCAAAACTGATAACAAAATCAGTGTTGATGTTTTCCTTGCCTGGTCCTACAACCTCCTATTCTGTAGCCACAGTTCTCTTGCTATGCTAATTTCATGACGATCATCTCTGACTTATACCTTGCTATGGTTCCCTGTGTTAGTCATTAGGGCTATTCACAAATACCCCGCTCTCTTCTCCCGAACACATGGTAGGACATACATCTCCACTCAGCAGGTTAGATGTGGCCGTATGCCTGATGTCAGCTAATGAGATGTGATTAAAAGTGGCATGTGACACTTCTAGGCAGAAGGCTTCAGAGCCAGCAAGTGCGGGGCAACCAGCAGCATGTGAGACGGCGGCTGCTCTGCCAGCCTGAGTCCCCAGTGACCTTGATGAGCAGAACTCCTACCGGCCAGTGATGGGCATATGGTAGGACCAAGAAATAAATCCCTATTGTTTTAAACCACTGAGATATTAGAGTTCTTGTTAACTCAGCATATCTCTATCACTGCATATATCAAGCTACATCATGATTGGGTTATTTCCCCAACTAGACACTGAACAACTTAAGGCCAAAATGGTTTCTTCTTCAGGACATGAAATTTAGTACGTAGCGTATTTAAAACAACCTGGTAGAAAATGAAACTCCCTTTCTTCCTGGCCTCTGTGATCCTCCATGTTTTATGTTTTCCTAACACTTGCCCCCCCCCTCCCAGCACCACTGGCTGAAATAAGAAGGTGTCTTTGGTGTTCAGATATATGGTGGGGTTGGTGTTTGTGTGTGTGTGTGGCGGGGGGTGGGGGGGTGTGGCAGTGGAGCTATTCTTTTTGACCAGGAGCACAAGTAGGAAGAGCTGGCAGAAGAACAGAGGGAGGTAAGTCAGAGAAAAATTAGGCTACAGGCATTTTGAATAAAGTAGGTTCAAAGGGCAGACAAGATTTTGAAATAAAGTCTTGGGGCAACCACACAGAAAAAACAGTATCCCAAAGTGTTAGGTTTACAAAGGATCATAGGTTTTATCTGGACTAGACCTCTACATCATCATCATCATCATCATCATCATCATCATAACACCAATATTAACTGATAACTTACTATGAACCAGGCGCAACTCTAACCGCTTTACAATTAACTAATTGTACCCTCACAACAACCTTATAAGGTAGTTATTACTGTCATTTTACAAATGAAGAAACTGAAGCCCAGAGAAATAAATTCCATATGGCCACACAGCTAGCAAATATCTCTCTGTGAATTCAGCATCTGCTTGAACACTCTTCAACCTGGGGAGTTTGCTAGCTCCCAGGGCCTCCCACCCGCCTGAGCTACATCCTGCCTCCCCTTCCAACTGCACTCCCCCACAGTTCTGCCTTCTAGACCAACACAAAGCAATTCTACCCTCCTTTCTCCAAGGTAAACCTTCATATATCTGAAGGCAGCAATTATGTATCCCTTAAGGCTGCCCTTCTCCAGTCTAAACAGCCCCAATTCACTCAACTGTTTCCAATGAGCCTGCGGTCCCACACCATCCCAGTTCAGTCACTCACATATGCTAAGGACCCAAAAATGTTGGTTAAATCAGCAGAGGGAACTGGTGACTTTCCCTTATAGTCCTGTGCCGAGCAAATGCCTTCTACAATCCCAGCACCTTTCTTTCACCAAGTAAAACAGAGTCCAGAGGCAGAAATGGAGCCATAATCTGCGATAGGAACAGCAGGCTGGCCATGTGTCCTGCACACGTCCCCACGGAATGCTACAGAATCCGCATGTTTAGAGTTCCTCCTTTTCACTCAGGTCTCAAGTCTATTTCCACCCCTCCCTCCTTCTTCTCCTCCCCCCCCCAAGTCCACCCCCAGCCCTCAGAGGCAGTACAGAAAGCAGGCCCTCTACTCACCATGGAGTTCATGGCAAAGTGATTGTGCTGTGTCTGGAGGTCTAGAGCATGCTGGTAGCTCACGCCGATCTCCGTATGGCTCTGGAGGAATAACTCCTTGTTGTGGCTTATCCAGTCGAACATCTAGAGGTGACAAGAAGGTACAGAGTAGTCAGAAGGGTCATGGGTCCAACAGTGCAAAACTTTGAGCTACTGGAGAAAAAAAAAAAAGAGTCCTCCTGCCGGAGCCCAGTGAGAACCAGTCATCATTCTCAGAGTGGGGGTGGCCCACAGCCTGGTCTCCCAGGAAAGCCCTCACTTTTAGCATAAGGATGCATCAGCCTCTGTGCTACTCTATAGAGCCTAGGGGAAGAAGAGAAAACGAATGAGAGAATCAGGGAGATGGGGGGAAAAAGCTATTGTTATTACCCCTATCTACTACTCCTTTGGAAAAACATTTACAAAGCCTCAAAAGGACACCATGCTCGTTTTAGGGACAGGAGCTGAGGGCACAACATGGAGGCTTAATCCACTCCCTACTGCACTAGCAGAAGAGAAGCAACAGGGCACCCTAACATGCCACTGATCCATACCATGTCACCCAACCACACACATTGTTGAAGTGACTCTGGACTAAACCACCTTTTCTCATGACTCCACAGCCCCCCAATTCCAAGGTTTCTGCTATAACCTATCAGGAACCAGAAGAGGAGGGATTTGGGGGGCAGGGTGAGCACTGCCTGGCGCAGTGGGCACTGAGCCATTTTCCTCCCCTTAGCTCTCTACCCTGGTTTTTGTTTCGGCTTCCACCTCTCTCCCAGGCAGCCCACACACATTAAGGGGAGCTGACCAGAACCCCAGTTCCAAGGGAGGGATCACTCTAAAGGTTATCCATCCTCAGGACACCACATCTAAGCCAGTCAGTGTAGGACATTTCCCAGCCAAAGGGATTGTCTCAGAAAAGGAATGTTATCCAATTCAGTAGAATAAGACACTGGTCTGGGAAAATAGAACCTAGTTCTTCAGATATAATTTCCGGTCCTCTGATACTGTCATTGTGACCCTGAGCCTCAAATTGTTACAGCCATTCTGCTGGCAGCCTAAGGGTGAAGCTGATGAGCAGAGAAAGGGTATAGCCAAAACACTGACAGGAGGCAGGCAGATCCCTGATTGAGCTTTGCCTGATCTCTGGCTTGTTTCTGGACTTCCCTAGTACCCAAGCCAAGAAATCCTCTTTATCATCCAAGTGCAGTCAAGTGATGTAACAGGAAAGGTGTGAAGCCTTTGAAAAGACGACTCCTATACTTGGAACTGAAGCCCCATAGTTTGGGACGGGCTCCGCTGCAGAGCAGAGCGTGGAGGAGCCGAGCACAGGTGCAGGCGGAGAAGCTGCAAAGATGGCTCCAGCCTTCCTAGAGGCAGAACCTCAGACTCATTTATTATTCCCCTTTGAACAGCGAAGTGAATTTGCTTTTTCAGTTGTATTCAACCTTTTACATTTACAAGACACTTGCTATGTGCCAGGTATGGTCCAAGGCAATGGAAAACAAGAGTGACTAAAATATGGTTCTTAGGTTTAAGTGGTTTAAAGGCCAGTATGGAAAACAGACAGGGACTCAGATATAATGCTAGTACAACTTGGCACAGGACTTGATTAAAATCATGACTTGAAAAAAATCTATCAAGATAAAGTCCCATATGTTCTTCCATGCTAGCTCCCACCCTTAATGGAGTGGGGACAAGGAAGAGCAGAGAAGGCTTCCCATAGGAGGTGCCACCTGGAATTAGCCAGGGTTGGGTGAGGGAGATGGGAGCTCCAGGCAATGGGAAGACCTAAGAGGCAGAACTTGGGGCAGCCAGTATGTGCAGCTTCTGGAAGCACCCCAGCTGTGCTTCCAGAGCCTGACGTGAGGAGAAGATGTGGCTGGAGAGGCAGATGAGGCAGCTGACTATGGAGAGCCCTGGACACAGGCTTTAAGAAACCTGGACTACATTCTGTGGGCAACAAGCAGCAGTGGAAGGTTTTAAGCTGAGCAGCGAAGTGTGATATGAGCTTTGATCGCACTGAGGGATGTGGACTGGAGGGGTGAGGCAGGGCAGAGAGAAGGGTTAGGAAGCTGTCACAGTAATCCTGGTGACGAGGGGTGGGTGGGGATTAGAATCTGGAAGCCTGGGTTAGGGGCATGGTAGCGGAGTCTGCCATGGGCAGGAGTGGGCAGGCTTGAGAGCTCCTGGGAACAGGACCGAGGACTCATAGTTATTCTGGGAGGGAGGGTGAGAAAGAGGTAGGGAATAGCCAGGTGTCTGGCACAGCACCCTGGGTCCTCATAGGAAAGGTGCTACCATGAGTGCCACATAAAGAGGAGGATAAGAAGCTGGGGTGGGGATCAGGAGATAGCAGGTTCTGTCTTAGATGTGCCAAGTTTGAGAGGCTGATGAGAATTTCAAGCAGAGGTACACTGTGGGCAGTTAGACTTCTGTGTCGGGAGGTCAGGAGAGAGACATCAAGGCTGTGGTAACTCACAGTTAAGTATAAACACATCACCTTCCAAATGCAATCATGCATGGTTTGGAAGTGATTCTCCCTTTTGAATTACCCAGATCACTCTCAGCTATCTCTCTGGGATAATAAAGGAAGAAGGAAAGTATCACTCCTCACTTTCGAGTATCAGAGGATGTTTCAGGCTGGGGGCTCCTGCAGAGTCTGGGTCAACATCTGCTGTGTGCAGTATCCTGGGTCTGACAGCAGTAGTCATCTCCAGGGCGCTGGCACAGGTCAGGGCTCTCCCTCCTCCCGCAATTATTCTTAAGGACAAAGGGAAAAAGAAGACAAGTGCCCCAGGAGTGTAGAGGAATCTTATTCTGTAATTTTAGATCTTTAAAATTCCGCCTCTCAACCCCATTTTAAAATAATTTCTCATCTCTGTTCCTTATTGACAAAAGAATCAATAAAGTTAATGAAAATCTGAAATGCCTTAAGTCCTTAGAACTTGTGATGAAAAGCACTCACTCCATATGCTTTCTTGGATATCACAGTGGCCGAGAAGTGACCTTCCCTGTATTTTCTGTTAAATGACTATTTAGATACGCAAATAAGCAGTGAAGTTACATGCTAGCACCAGAATGATTAGATTGCCTGGTGCCAAGTCCCTGCTGGACTACAGAGCAGGGCTTGCTGGATAGGGGCCAGTCAGGCTGGAAAGCAAGAAGAGAAGGGAATGAAAAGACAGGCAAGAGTAGGGTGTGCAGAAGAAACTATGCACTTCTCTGAATGGGCTTCTCACACAATGTCCACACCCAGGCCATTCCTCAATTCTGCCTCCACCATGGAGCACACCAGCAGCTCTCTGGTGGCTGGGGGTTCTGGCAAGATCACTGGTGCCGGAGGCAGAGCTCCAAAGAGGTGATACATACCTCAGGGAGAAAGAAAAAAAGACCTACTCTGGGGACCAGATGGTCCCACATGACATCAGAAACCAGAATCTCTCCAAGGTGGCTATTTCCTAAGAGACAGTCTCAAGTCTTCTCTGGGCCCGCATCTACTGCCTTATAGTATATAACTTGCACCCTTGCAAACCTGGCTATCTGCAAAGGTCACCATCATTTCTTCTGCATTCAATACAACTGGTTGTGGAGAGAATGTGGTCATATGTGCACATGTGCATGTGTGTGTGCACTCATGTGCATGTGTGCACTGAGTAGGATGAGGACGGGGCTGGCTCCAAGCCTGGTTCTGTCACTAAGTACCCATGAGACTGGGCAAGTCTCATTTCTGGGTTTCTCCTCATTTGCAAGGGATAAGTGGCTCCCTGAAAGGAGGTAAGCTCCTGGTTTTACGTTCAGCCCAGTTCGGAAATTTATGGAATGCATTTTTTTTTCATTCAGAAGAAAATAGTTTTAATGAGTCTCCTGGATCAGAAGGTATATTCATTGCTGCAATTTACATTTCTAACATTTGAAGAAAAGAATGACAGTGAGAAAACTGGTGTTATTTGGTAGCCAGAGAAAGGCTTAGTCTCAGCCCCGACATTTGTCTGGTGTGTTAGAGTCCAAAATGTCTGTCAGTGCAAAAAGCGTGTCTCAGCTCTTGGCACCAATGCAATAAAGAATTAAGGATCAGTGCCCAAAGTAAAAGCAGAAAACAGTCTTATTAGAGCAACAGTATACCATCTAGGGAGAGCAGGCAGGTTCCGAGAGGTGGAACTGGCCCCTAGGTTGTTTGGGATTGGATATTCAGTGGGTCCTTCTGGGCTAGAAGGAGTGGTGATGCACAGCGGGGTGGTCTCTAATGGATGCTGCTTCCCATCATTTGGGGTACTCCTTTCACAGGTTGGGAGGGGGAGTTTTTGAGCCCACAGGGTTAGTACCAGACTCTTCATGGCAGCCCTTTTCCATGGGGGCGGGGCTGTACCCACAATACAAATGCATTGTAATGAGTCTAGGGTTACCCTGGGGCAGAGGTGGAAGAGAAGAGCAAGCTCTGCTCCTGTGGCTCTTGATCAGTCAGGCCCAAGCTCTTGGAAGACCCAAGGTCAGGATGTTGTGCCCCCAGGTTTCTCATGTGCAATCTATTTATCACTGTTCTTGCCATGAGCTCAGGTCTAACTGCCCATTTTATCACTTGGGATAAAATCTTTGGGACTCTGAAATCTTTGAGGTCAAGGGATGAAGATTCCTCAGGGCATGCCTTTGACTTCTCATATCTAGCTTCTACCTAACACGTCCATTCAAACACTTCATCTCACTGCGTCCATTAGGGCTGTTTTATAGACTGGGAAACAGGCTCAGAGAGCAAAGGCCGGGGTCTAGAATTCATTCACTACACCCAGTGCACATTCACTGAGTGCCTGTTGAGCCAGGCTCTCGGGACATTGCCCTGCCTCCTGCACATAGCTGTAGGACCTCTTGTGCCTGGTCTCCCCAGGGGAGTTACTACACAAAAAGCAGCCACCAGGGCCCTGTGAGGTTCTAGATAAGGTAAGATGCTATCCCTCACATGAAGCCATTCACTCTCCAATACCCAGCCTGCTTCTCTCCCCTCAGGTCTGCGCCACTAGGGCCTGGGGATGGCTGATTCAAACAGCTCCACTTACTCTCAGTAAATACTTGCCAAGTGAATGAATGCATGCGTGAGGTGGCTCTGG